AAAAAGTAACCGAAAGCATATATAGTATATATATATATATATATATAGCGTAATATAAAGTGCTTCAGGAAATCTCCAATATATTTTTACTGAAGATCTTCCGTAATTTATGTGAGTTGGAAATTTAGCATGCTTGGTGACTTTGGAGTTTCGTTAAAATCAACTTACAGTCAATAATAATATCATCAAAAGTAAGGCGATGTACGGCAGAATTGAGCGCTTGTATGGCTCGAAATTTATTGCTCCGTTTTAATGATGGCGGAATGCTAGTTGTGCATTCACAAATTTTAGCTTATTACTCAGCGAGGTATCTCTGCTCATTTGTTTCATTTTCCCTTTTTTCCAAACTAAGTTCATGAATACGGACTTCATCTACTAGCTTATTAAATTTAATATTTAAAAATAAATTCTGACTTCACATTATTTTTTACATTCCTTATGTGCTTGGTAGAGTGTGTTAAAATTATCCGATCTCAGTACTCTCACAATATTTTGCACTTTTACTTATCCGAAGGTGGTAGTGGATTAGAGAGTAAAACAGTGGAAGTATAAACCACAAATTTTTATAAGAGGCGAATGATTTTCAATCTAAGGATTTTTGAGAAGTTCGAACGATTAAAATTTGTCAACTTGTTTTCATTGCTCGAAATCTGCTTAGATGAGAACCAAATAACATATATTAATTTCCACTCAATATATGTAGTTGTGATCATGAAGATATATTGTTGAGGTATGAACATCGAGTTACTGGCATACTTTCGAAGAAAAATTTCTTCCAGATTCTTTGATAATTACCGATTAAATCGACAATACGTGACGATTAAAAGTGATGCACGTATTGCCAGAAATTTGATACAATTTCATTACACCGGGATACTTCAACTTCCGTTTTCGCATATCGAAAAATATTTCCAAGTTGCAAGCAAGCTTGCATTCGACACTGCTTTGGAGGTTATTGGCCCTTTTACAAAACGTTTAAAAAATAACTATTCGAAATCTTAGAAACTGATTCTTCGAAAAGCCCGCGAAATGATAGGACCAAATCATTCAATACATACTTTGACAAACCTAATAAAGTCTGACTTTATGCATCCTATCACTTGTGAGCTACAATACCGCTATAGATTCACATCAAAATGTCATATATTCCTAGGATTTATCCATATTGATCCGTTAGGATTAGATAGTTTGAGTAATCAACGGCTTAGTCATCTGCTGGATGAAAACAAATAATTCAATAGCTGGCACTTAAATTCCCAGATGTAAGTTCGTTATCAGTGACGCGCGAATGTGTGGGAACTCTTGACACTCTGATAAATATTTCGAGTAAAAGATGTAAAGATGTTGATAATACTAAGAAGTTATAGAAATCGACCAAACACTTTAAATTACAATATAGCATACATATGCACCGATAACCATAATATAAATCAATGATAACATTATCAGACAAAGATAAAGATCGAAACGTGGAGACGTTATCAAAGCAAATTTCAAAACAAATCCTTTAGTTGTGCATTCCAAATGTTGAACTTTTTATTGGATACTTTTCACTTTCCTATCTGTATGAATTCCAGATTCTAACTCCATTTTCAGGTTTTATCTCAGTTGTTGGAGAAATTCTCGCATCGAAATGAATATCATGCAATCATATGTGCAAACATTGCATGTGAACCAAACAATCATGTTGTTGCGTCATGCGTCAAAACAATTATTAATTACGCTGCAACATTTCTGAAACAGCCAACCAATTTATATAAAACGGTACAAAATGGAAAGAATGTCCAGTTTTGGTCAGACATGGATAATTTCACATTTAAATATTAAAAGATATTTAGCAAATTTGTTGCAGTATGCGAGTCCAAATGCGATATATCGTATCCTACAAATTCTGGCAGTTTTTACTGATTGGAAAAAGGTCATTCATTTGCTCATTTCAGAGTGACCACTTCAGAATTATGCACAAAATATTGAAATATTTATTACTTGTGTGAAATGAAGAGCTGATAGCTGTGTCGGTACTATGAAATCATATCTGTTATACGTCAAAAGAATTCATTAAATCACGTCATTAGTTAGGCTCACAATGATTCAAAATTCATGGATTTGGTCGGTGTTCTTTTGACTTATCGAAATGTTCCAAAACTTTGACCCGAGCATCGCGATAAGATAAGATGCGTAAATTTGATTTCATCAAATGGTTCAATGGGAAAATTTTTATCAAGTAGAAAAAAGATAAACGGGATAATTGTATAGTTTAATAGATTAATAGTTTAATAAATTTGTCTAATATTGGGTTTTATTCAAACTTGGAACTTTTGAGATTAACTTTGAGATGAAGTTTCAGAGCCTTCATTTAGCACTAGAATGGATAGTATACGAGGAATGGCGACATCTTTATGCAAATTCCATACTTGATGCAATCGTTTTTGAAACATCCGATAAACTGATAGAAGTTGAATTTGTTGTTATTATTCTAGTTCTATGAGACATCTGAATGTGTGCATTTTTTCTTAATTACTCGAAAATTTTGGGAAATTTCAAATTTTTTTTTGAACAAATCGAAAAAAGTCTGCAAATGGTATTATTTCTTAGGTCGTAAAAGAAGAAATAAGTCGTTTACCACGAAAAGTTGGTGAAGCTTTAGCAGAACGTTGCAATCATGCCATGTATCGATATTTGCTACATGATGAAAATAACACTGAACGAACGAATCCGCGAAGATGTTCGATTTTCAGCACTGACCACAACATTTTGTCCATGAGATCATTTCCTTACAGTAAACTCGAAACTTCGTCAGTCACGTTAGGGAATGTGCGATCGTCAACACGGTCATCCGAAACGGAAAATTCGTTATTGCCTGCTTGTTCATCTACTAAGATTTTCGATGAATTTTTATTGGATGATGGCACACATCGAATATATACGCCAAACAATAGTATGAAGTCACTCATTCCGGTCACTTATACCACAAATTTGATGTCGCATGAAGGAGTAACCAAGCAACAACAAGCAAGTTCGTTGCAACCATTAATCGACTTGCATTTCCTTGCAACTTATCAGAAAAATTCTCGCAAAAAGCCATAATATCATATAAATCAAACAATGGGCAAACTTCGAAAATTTCTGATAAATTCCAAGGAAATTATTCAAGAGTTGTAAGGCAGAAAAGTACAAAAGGGAAGTAGCGAATGGTGAAGATTGGCCGGTACGAACCGGAGCCGGAATCAGACGTCGAAAAACCGTTATTATTAAATCAGCCTACAATATCAAATAACAAAGCTTTATCTTATTTCACCGAATTGCCTTGTTATTTTCCGAGTTACAGAAACACCGATTATTCTCGGGAGAAAGCAGTTAGATTTCATATCACTTTGAATAACTTCACTGTCATTAGGGACATTAGACGATATCTTCTATTTCAACGGAATTACCGTTTCTTGGATGATTTAAAGTACCTTATGCCATTCCTATTATAATCTTTCCACACTTTAACATTTCAATTTTCTCTCATTTCCAGAAATGATGCAAAGACAAAAGATTACGCAACAAAAATTAGCGGAAAAAATGGAACTATCGAATAAATTTGGATTTGTCATTGGTGCAAAGTCATCAAATAATGCAATCACAATTTGAAGTTAAATGAAACATTGAACGGAAATATTGTTAATTTTAGCGAAATTCAAATATTGATTGAATTTAATTGGTTGAAGTAATTTAAATTATTTTTGTTTCAATGATGAAATAACTTTCAAGAACGAACCGTTTTCTTTGTAACTGTTGTGTATTTCAATTTCAGTTGTGAAATGATTTTAATTTTTAGATTAATTAAGAAATTCTTAGCGTCAATTCGACAAGTTCTATATTCAGAATAACCTTTTCTTTCTTGTCCTATTTTGGTATAATTTTCACCGTAGTTTTAAAACATGTAATTGATGCTCAGAACTTTTGCGCACAAATGTTTGTCTTGTAGAATTCTATACGATGTGAATGCAAATGTATTTAATATATGCAAAATAAATGTGAAATTTCGATTAAGCAACTTATCCTATCATTGCTAAATTACTGCGAAAAGTAATCTGCCAAAAAAAGTAGTGTTCCTTGGCATGCTTATAGTGAGCACTGCAAGTTGCAATTTGCAAATAGCAGTTTGCAAACTGGTGATAGGTTGCATTTTGACAAAAAAAAAAAATTAAGATGGAAAAATATTCATACAAATCACGCCAATTCAACATCTCACTACTTCATCACTAGATACACATACAGGTGTTGCATTTTTCGTACGGTATATAAAAGCATTCCAAAGTATAACAGACAAACAGATACATGACATATTGTGAAATTTCAAAAATGCAATGCATTGTTCATGGTATTGCATGGCCAAGTGTTATGTATAGTTCATGGTATTGCATGGCCAAGTGTTATGTATAGTTCATGGTATTGCATGGCCAAGTGTTATGTATAGTTCATGGTATTGCATGGCCAAGTGTTATGTATAGTTCATAGTATTGCATGGCCAAGCTTTCTTGGCCTATATGATAAAATAAATTTTATCATTCAACTAATTTAAGAGGACATTCAATTCATTACCCGAAAAATTTTCTAATGATGAAAGTCTAATTCCCTGCCAGATACAAAGACCTTAACTATATTATACAATCATTTCCAGTGTTATGATCTCATAAAATCAAATTTTTTTTTTTTGAAAAAAATATTTTGTTTCAATACTACTTTAATATGCTAATTTGAAATATACGAAAATTTCCAGTCATAAATGTTAGCGTCTGTTATGAACATAAGTAATAATTGAAGTTAAGTCTTACCGCTGATGTGACAATGTGGCAAAACATATGTGACAGTATTGATTGAGAAGATTTAAAGATGTTTCGCCTCTTTTGTTAAAACGCCAAGATTATCAATAAGTAAGCAAAGCAAAGCATTTGTTTACAAAACTAAATTCAATTCAGCATCAATTCATCATATAGTCCATGGTAATTATGAAGGAAATAGTTTCGTGTTGAGAATTTGATATTTCATTCTATTTCATTTCATCCAATATTCGATCCTATCCAATGTCCACTAAACGAATGTGTTTGTCAATAATAAGTCACATGAAATGATCGCCGGAATTCAGGATCAGTTTGCAATGAAGCAAACTGGAATTCGTCATTTTTCTGCTTGGAGCGTCGATTCTTTTTCATGTAGGCATGTTTATAGCATAAGTAAATTTGAGTAACTACGAAACAACATGCGAACATCAATAGACCACAGGTCATAAACATGACCACTGCAACGATAATTGATTCTATATCGATACCTATTGGTGTTAATGACGTTCTTGGACTCATCCTGAAATAACAATACAATATTGATTAAAATAGGCAAATTGAGGTTCCAGGGAAGGAATTTCCGGTTCTTCTCTTCTACTGTCTATTTATTCAACGGAATTTTTCTTTTAACTTGACATAATTCCCGAAAGCTCTAAGAGAGCTATAACAACACCTTAGCTAGTTTAGGCTAAATAGTCTGTACTTCTAAAATAAAAAAAAAAGAAGAAAACAAGAAAATTTGATGGAATAATTTTGCAATAAGTATTTATTCATAATCAGTTCTAAGGCGCAGAATGTAATTTCATTTTGCAAGTTTGCGCATAACTTATATTCATTTAAATCATATTACACTTAATCTATAAAGATTAAATTTCGAGCAAAGTGTCACATAAAGCTTACCACGTGGTCGCAATGTCGAATCACAATATACGATATATAGTTTTATAATAGAGAATAAATAAGTTATTGGAATCTCAATGAAGTATCGTGAAATCAGATCCTTTCTTCAGCTCTATGATAGAAAAAAGTAGCTGTCACTTAATCTCCATTTTTCCTCCACCACATTTATTTATCAAGAAAAGACATTATGAAAGAAATTTTAACTCACTCTTCGATACTTTTTTTTTTATTTTTGTTTTACTCCCTGTAAATAATCATCGATGTAAGATTGCTTCAATTCTTTTTGTCAAATATGCGTAACAAACAAATTTGAATATGAAGAAATTTTGTGAAGTTTAAAAAAATTAACATAATGACAAAGAAAAAGTAAAGAAGTAAAGAATGTCCATGCCATTTGAATTTCACTTTTAACTTCTACAAATAAGATCAAACGAACAAATAACATATCAAAATCAATCAATCATTCATTTCGATTACTTAAGCATATCAGACAGCATATCAGAGCATACCAGATTTAAGCATATTAGATAAATTACTTAAGCATATCAAATAGGTATATCTTTTAAAATTCAGTTCTAATGTTTTAATGTATTATAGTACCAACGAAATATTTGCATTTAACTTCATTTGAGTGTTTGGAAAAGTTTACTATAAATTTAAAAGTTATCATTCACAAATAAATTGCCTTTTTTTTAAAAAATAATTTTAAATTTATTTGAGTTATTTCGGGTAGGAGATTTGGATAAATTTAAATAAATTATTTTAAAATAATAATTAAATAAACACAAAATAATATAATGCTTGATAGTAATCTTGTGTTGATGGTTGTTTGGAAAAGTTTTATTACGAATTTTATAATTATCATTTATGAATAAATTGTTTTTTTGAAAAAAAATTTTTTTTTTTTGAAATTCAAATTCAGATGGTATTACACGAAGTTTAGCTGTTCCAAGCTTGAAACTTAACAGAACAGAAATATGATATGACTTGGATAAAATCTGTCACATAATTTTATTATCAAAATTTTGATAACAAATTTATCATGGAGTTGATTAACAAACAGTTGATTGATTTTATGTCAATGTAATGTTTCATTTCATATGTATGAAAAATGTTAACGCAGAAATAGGAAGTGATAATAGTCGGGAAGATATTTTGGCCAAAGCCAACAAGAGGACAGAATAATATTTGAATAGTGAAATGGAAATGAAGAAAAGTGTGATGAAATGGTGGAGAAAAAGATAATCGAATTTTTTTCAGTTTTAGTAATGTGTCATTTTATGCCGGAATCATTACATCAACTAACCAATCTTCCTTCATTTTTTCACTATAATAAATTGCTTGCATTAGCATTGTGTAACAACAATACCATTATAATTAACACTCTAATTAATATTGATATAAACAACACAGTAACTCTTCTATTAATTATATGAAGAATAATAGGATGGATATATGTAGTCAAATGAAAGATAACGAATGGATGAGATATGTTTACAAAGGGATGTGAATGTAAATTTGTGTAATATTTTTAAAATGATAGCAATATGATAATGTTCTCATATCTTTTTATCGCTAATGATAACAATATGACAATGTTCTCATACCTTTTTATCGCTAATGATAACAATATGACAATGTTCTCATACCTTTTTATCACTAATGATAGCAATATGATAATGTTCTCATACCTTTTTATCACTTTTGTAGTTATGCTAAAATTAGGTTATTCATTGAGAATTCTTGGAGTAAAAATGCTAAAGAAATTTGATACAGTAAGTTATTATTGGAATGGATATCTTTTTTGATATGTTATCACTAGTACATTTGAAATATGATGACATGCAATATTGTTTGAAAAAAATCAAAGTTACACTGGAGTCATTTGTTATCATCATGATGGTATGTTATTTATTACAATGAATTTTAACTAAGTTAAAGTTATGCAAAGTTTTTTCGGATAATAAGGCATTGGGAGATATATGGCAGTGAAAATTATTAGAAATAAAATTAAAGAATTAGTTGAGTTAATTTATTAAATGATTTATATGCTTTATCACATATCTCAAATAATCAGCTACTTTCGTTATCACAGAATATTATCTTATTCAATTTCTGATAATTTCGCAGTAATATATTTCACTATAGGCAATGATTTGAAATGATTGGAAAATAAAATTTGTTAAAATAAGAGTAAATGCACAACCATTATTTGAATAACCATTATTGCCATCTCAATTTGTCTTGTTTTCCTGATCGATTTAAAAATTCTTGAGAATAACGAACAGCAACTATTGGACAGTAAAAAATGGTGACAGATAAAAAGAAAATGCAAATTTGGAGGAGCAAAAAGAAAATTTTTAATTGTATTATGCTAAATTATATTTATACTTCGCCTGAAAGGTTCATTTGAACGTTTGCTAAAAATGTTTCATTTGAACGATAAAACCATATCAACTTTTTCAAATATGAAAAATAACACGAAACTTATTTCTGTAAAAAAGTGAAGTTAACAGAAAAGAAAAAAAATTCATAGCATATTTTAAAACAGCACTTGAGTATTCCGAAAATTGCTCACAGTTTTTATCTTCAAATTGAGAAGAAAATATTTTCCTCTTGAATTTGGATAATAAATTCGACAATTTTTGTGAAATTTAAAAATGAGACAGAACTCAGATATATGACGGAAAGGATAGTTGGTAGGCTACGGGATGGATAAATACTTGAGGAAGTGTAAAAGTGAGAAGAGTGATAGACCTATGTCTGAGGTTTGGAAAGAAGTGAAATGATATGTGAACAAAGAATGATAAGCCCGAGGTGTTGAGAGGAGTGAAATGATATGAGAGTAAAGAGTACATAGTATGTGAAAAAATGAAACGATTCGATGTTGAAATGGTAGAAATTATGATTTTGCTAGTCTCTAGCAATTGCTTTTCCGCTTAACGTCCACCTATTCCCCTCTTAAAGCTGCTTAAGGCCCTTGAGGCCCACCTATTATATTGATAAGAGAAACAGCTGGCATTTCATTTTTCCCATTTGTCAACATTTACAGTGTTATATTATGCAATCAAAATAATTAAAAGTTTATATAAAATACTCAAAATTAGTTTATCTATGAAATGTTATCAATTTGTTAAACTTTTTATGAAGTAAAATTGTTAGAAAAGAGAATTTATGCATATTGAAACTCCCTCTCTCTTTCTCTTTCTCTCTCTCTCTCCNC